ATTCTATCATACCTGCAGATGTGGCTTGCAGCTGAGGCAGGTGGATCGCAAATTGCCACAACAAGGGAATCGCTGGAGATGAGAGTAAGGGGATGGCATCAACTACATCCCGGTGACTCAACACCATCCCATTAAAAGAAAGCCCCTCTACCATATAAGAAACCACACCCCCACCACAGACAGGACAGACTGTGGGTGAGGTCCCTCTCCGGACGATTAGACTTGACAACGTTTTCCGAGTTGTCACGGTTTTGTCGGAGAAACCCCCTGATACTGTGTGACCTTTGACCGCTTAGCCTGTTTCCCCTTTATTCTTTGAGGCAGCTGACACAGAAAGAAAGAGTCACATGCATTATGATATCTATATGGATCTGCTTTCGTAAGATATATGTGACAAATGTGTCTCGGTTTTGTTTTGCTCACTGTCTTGATCAGCCAGGTGTGTCAATTTTTTATCTTTAATGATTCTATGAATCACTGGATGTTTAAATCGGTCTTACACTGGGTGCTGGTGTCACTGAAATGTGGACATTAATGGCTGACAGTCTATTGACTCGGCTGCCAAGACTTGTTAAACCAACTGGCAGCTTTTCCGAGACCAAAGCCTACAACATATCCTTTTATACCAACAACAAACTTCCTTCCTCCCCTGCAGCTATTTATCTACCTTTCAATTCATGTCACCTTTCATTTCTCGCTATTGTTTTCAGCTGTCTTCTTGCCTGACCCCTGGTCTCTCTTGAAAGAGGCATGTAGATTTCTGGCAGCTGCTGATTTTTTTCCCAATGAACATGCCATGATTCTATGATTGGCCTATGAAGGTTTCTTTGAAGCTTCCCTGCATCTCTCTAAACATCTTGGGCAACATCAAAGACCACACATTACAGGGGGCCAGAGTTCAACTGGGACACACTGTGATTCAAGCATCATCTCTCCTTTTCCCCTCTTCTTCAGGGGTCTTGTTTTCTGTGAAGCGCTGCTGAAGGAGAAGGGTAGCCAGCAGGGGGAAAATGGGAGAGGGAGGAGGAGGAGGCAGCTTCTCTTCCTGCGTTTGTGTCCATCATGTGTCATGGCCGCTCTTGGCTTTCATGTTCTGTCTGGCTGAGTCTCCTGCTCCAGCAGTCTCTGTTTCCTCGCTGAAAATCTGTGTCCCTCAGAGGCAGGAGACGCGTTCTCCTCTGCATCCATTTCAGCTCAGCTCAGCGTAGCTGGGCTCTGCTCTCACCTTGCTGACACCAGCTCCTCAGCAGACACCTCCTCCCTGCATAGGCTCAGCTGGCCGACAGGCAGCTGTCCGTATGTATAAAGCAGGAGAGGACACACACACACTGTAGTAGGTAGTCACCATCACTGGTTACTTTTCTAACACATTTGCTATTGCCACCTCTTTTATTTAGACACTTCTTTTGGAAGCATCTCACGCTTAAAAGAAGAATTTACCTAAAGTGACATCAGTGATGTTTTTATCTGTTTTTGCTCAGTTTGATTGAACGTTACAGAGGTTATACTTTTATGTATTTTGTAGTTTCATTCTTGTTTTGTTACTTCAGCAGCTCACAATGTTCAAAGTAAACGTAGAATATCCTCTTCACCCTTTCATGTTGCTTCTTTTTGCTAACGTAGAATAATTATGTTTGCTACATCTCAAGTGTGGCTAATTGTTGAGCCTAATATAGCGGACTTTGACTCAAACACTTGAGTCTGTGTTTGATTACCACGGGAAGGAAAATTCAGTCGCAGGGGCCAAAACAAGCCAGTGGCTGATGAAGACAAATGTGCAAACACATGTTGGCAGAATTGCTTTTTGGTTGAGCGTGATCGGCTACGCTCAGGAGGGCGGAACCAGGAGTTGTGATTTATAGTTTTGTGCTGTCCCTGGACCACCACTGTCTGCTGCCTCCCACTACTGTAATTACCATGTGTGTCTATTAGAATAGTCCTGCTGCCCACAATGCATCACCTCAGCCCAGAGGAGAGGAGAGTTAACACTTACCAGAGATAGTCTTGTTATTCAAACAGTGTTCTCTACAAAAGCATGATACACAGGCAGAGTGGAGAGCAAAAATACACTGCAGATGATGTGATAAAGGTCAAAAAGAACAATGCTGAAAGGTTGAGGGGTGTATTGAAAGTGGGAGAATAAGGACAGACACAGGCATCTTCCTTCAGTAGGACATGTATGACTTTACTTGGATGCAATAGACCACATAAAAGCTACAGTATATATCCATAATCATTCACACTAAAAGCTGATAAGCCTATTTGTTTTCAGTAATGCTACAGACCTGGCATGGATGCTGTTTAGCTAATAATTTCAACAACATTATGGCAGTTTTATGTGCATTTTATGTAGCAACACCTGTGGATTTCACATCATATTCAATCTTGTTTTACATTACATGTCCTCCTACATTTTATTTGCATCCCTCATGACCACTCCAAAGCCTGCTTTAAATAAAGCCTGCTGGTCTGGATTCAGTTTGCTTTGCCTTGGGCCTTATAGCATCTCCTAGTGGGCAAACTGCCCGCCGTTTTCAGTCCCATGAAAATTAATGCTTTGAATAATGTGATTCAGTCAATACCTTCAGGTACCTTGACAAATAAGAGAACTTGACATCTTCTGAGCTTGTTTATAAGGTGGATTTCTCTGCAGTGTTTCCATTATGGATCATTTTCCTTTGCTGTTTTATAGTCTGAGTGTGTGCGCAGTCCACTTCCCACAGACTTTGTCAAAACATTTGTATCTGTCTGCATCAATTAGGCTACAGTTTTGTTTAGAGCTAATAAACCATTTTACATAAAGTAACTTTCTTCCATACAGTTCAGTCTTTCTCAATTGAATAATTTTTGTTACGTCTACCTAAAAAGGAACTGAATCACCTTTTTCTTCTTCATGAGAGCTCTGAACCTATAATGAGACCTGGCACTGAGTTCTGGCCAGTGTCATTTATGCTGTAATTGGCCTAAGGGTGTAAAGGGCAGCCATGCATCAGAGAAGACAGAAAACTAAGTGGCTTACAATGACAGGACTAAGAGGACAAAATACAAGTAGAGGGCTCGCATAAGTCACAAACTAAAGAGAGTTTACAGTGTGAGCTGGTTTATGATATGACATTCATTATGGCTATATAATTACATAGATGAATAAATGGACAAATGATCGATTGAATTTATGATTTTGTTGGGTTTTTTTTAAACAAAGCTCCATTCCACAAGGGACACACTTATATCTAAACATATTTTCAGGATTCAGCACTCACATTCAAAACAAAGAAAGTAAATTAACAAACAAATTATCACAGTATATCATACACATCTTAAACATCTACCCTACTGTCGACAGCATACAGTAGGACAATGTGAATGCAAAACACATCTTTATTTGAATCTTTTTTTTAATCTTACTAAAACCTCCTAACAAACAGCAGTGTCCTTTTTAGCCAGTCTCGTCTAAAAGCACAAAGTCTCTCAATTCTATGTGTACAAACCACTTTAAGATCGCAATATCAGCAGCAATATTAACAACAGCTACATAGTTTGTAAGAGAAGTACATACAAAACAGAAGACTGAAATTCAAAATGTAACTAAAACTAAAACCTTTATTACTATATTTGAGAGTTAATTTACAGAAAGGACCAGTATCATCAGTATTATCAACAATGTTAAAGAACAGACATCATTTTTATAGTGGGTATGTAATTTATTTTTCAGTCTTCTGCACAAACAAATGGGGTGTTTGTTCAAAGGGGTTTTAAATGATTAATTTGTCATTAATATGATACAAAAAAATGCATCTTATTTCCATATGTAATGGAAAGATCCATCTGTGTTTGGCATTAATATAGAATTTTTCTACTAAAAACTAAACCTTATTTATGCCAATGTTGATGTTTTCTTTCAAGATTAATTTTGACTCAAAACCTGTTTTAATTTTTTTCCCCAGACATAATCATATAGGGGTGGGGTTACAAGTTGATAGATCACAAATGGTAGAGTAGTAGATTCACATAATAACAAATGTCCTTTAATCTGTACAAAATTGACAAACCAAAAGAACAAAGAACAAAACAAATAAACCCTGTTTTCAGATATAAATTGTGGATATATTCCATCTTTACAAAGACTACGGCTGTGTTTGTGTTTCCCATGAGTAGCTTACATAGTCTCCCATCATTCATACTCATACTAATAACCCAATTTACTTAATAGTGTTTCAGTAACCCTTTGTTTCCACCAACAAATATTTTATAGACCTAAACTGAATCTTTTCACATCCTTTGAAACTTGAAATCCCAATACAGTACCTCCACACTGTTTACCGTATTGCAGTTGTTTTAAGTGGTTGAATCAAGGGTCACATGAATGATTGAGGTTACACAGAGGATGCGGTTGTGTTGTTCACACTGATATCATAGCTCATTAGAGAAATAACCATGGTTTCAATTGATCTCCGTGACCACAAGCTCAAGTGGTTCAGGCTGAATTTGTGAGACATTGATTTCTATGGCTTATTAAAGGCATGAGTATCTTACTATACAGAGATGTGAAAGCAGGATTATCAGGAAATAGAGGTATTGATTGGGTCAAGAAGCTGGGGCTTACACTTCAAATTCCAGCAGCGAGACAGGATTTGACATAAGAACAGTGTTGACTGGAAGATATGGGAAAATATTCTGATGAGTCACAAATGGACAGAATATTTATGTTATCATAAATGGGACTGATCATTAGACTAAACATCATACAGATAGATAGATAGATAGA